GGAAGCCTGCTTCTCCCTCTCCCACTCCCCCTGCTTGTGTTCCCTCTTGCTGTGTCTCTCTCTGTCAGATGAATAAATAAAATCTTTAAAAAAAAAATTCAAGAGATGGATTGAAGAGCAGAATTAGGTATGGATGAAGGTCAAATTAGTGAACAGGGTGAATTAGGGTAGTCTCAGGTGGAATTAGTGAATTAGGGTGGTCTCCCACATTCAGTGGATAAAGCTGAAGAAGAGGAAGGGAAGATAAATACGGGGTCATGGAGGCTAGAGGCACATTTTTAGAAATTGCCTACCATAAATTCCAGAAGGGTTATACATAAAAAGAACTGAGAGAATGAAATAATCAAAGAACCAAAAGGAAAAAAAAATGTCTCTGCCGAAGAAAGGCTCAAATCTACAAATTGAAAGGGTCCAATGAGTGCTGGGCAAGAATAATGGAAAACTACGTCCTCATGAAGTTTCTGAATTCCAAGGGGAAAGAGGAAATCCCCAAGGCCTGCAGTGGGGGTCAGGGAGACACACCACGTGGAAGGAGTTGATAACCAAACTGGCCTGGGGTTCTCTGCAACGCTATCGTGAGAAGGCTAAATTTTGAGGGAAAATTCCAGACCCCATTAAACTATCTTTTAAGTATTTTGAATTCAGAATTCTATACCCAGTTAATTTATAATTACATTATGAAAGCAAAATCAGGACATATTAAGACATGCAAAGATTCAGAAAGTTTACCATCCAGGAAAACTTTCTGAAGGGGATACTCAATGACCTACCAGAAGTTTAAGGAGGGGGTGGGGGCGGGGGGAAGAGGAAGACATAGGACAAAAAAAAAAACCCAAAAAACAACCCAGCCGTAAACAAAGAAACCAGCAAAACTTGTAGCAAAGTCCATTGCAAAATAATCGAATAAAGTGTTCCTATTTTGAAGATGGCACTATTTGCCAAGATCAGGGATCCGGGGCTCACCGTCAGCTGGTCTTTATCACACACGGACTGTTGTGGGCTTCCTCGGCAACCGTGTCTGTCACTACTGGGTGTCCCCCCTGTGGGTGGCTGCCTGGGGTCCTGGGCTGATCCTGGGTCCAGACATGGGCCGTCAGCAGGCTTCCTTTCGGGGTTTGTGGAACAAACAGGCCCACAGCTGAAACTTCCTCAACTGGGGCAGGTGACTGGGTGCATGTGTGTGTGTGACAGACACCAGTCTCCCTTGGTGCTGCCCCACCTCTTGAGGTCAGGGGACAGACGGGCCAATACCGTGCCCGCTGGAACCTGAACGTCGGTCTGTCAGTGTCCAGAGTTTGTTCCCGAATCCACACCTGCTCCTCCAGCGTCCGCTGGTGGGATCACGGGGTGTCTGAGTCCCATCGGAGAGCACATGCCGGGGGGAGATGGGGAGGAAGGGCACTGCTGTGCGTGGGGCCTTCCCTGCTGTACTGAGCCACCCTTCCCACCCTTGTTCGTTTTGCTGGCCTGAGAACAACGGGCTCGAGCACGGCCATGTGCAGCGTATTTGCTCCCCACGTTCATTCCCCAGACTAACTTCAGGCCGGGTGTGTGGTTTGTGTGCGTGTTTGGGGGGAGGCAGAGACGGGTTAGAGAAGGCAGAATAATCCTACTGTTTCTCACACGGGTCTGAGCATCACTGAGCGTCCAAGAACGAGAAGTCTACCTCTGCTTGGCTTAGAGACAGCAAGGCATTTCTCCGCAGAGCCAGGTCCCTGTTACCGGTCTTGACAGATGTGCTTGAGAGGACACCTCTGTTCTGGGAGGGTCAGTGTGGCTCCTTTCAGGTGGCTTGTGGTGTTCTCAGATGTCATGTCAGCTGGGGAGGGGTGGCTGTGTGTGAACGTGCAGTGGGGTGTTATAAAGGGACTCACTTTCATCTGTTTCAAACACAGTTTTTCAATCAGCATACTTGGAAGTGTTAAACAAAATGCAACCAAGTAAATTTGAAGATTTAATTGGCTTTATTGAACGATTCATGAATTGGGCAGCATGCCATCTAGGAAGCTGAGAAGAACTCTGAAGAGTTGCACAAAAGGGAAGGATTTTATGGGAAGGAAGATGGGGCAAGAAAGTTATTAATAGCAGAACAGGATTGTTCCAGGCAAGGTCGCTTTCCCTTAGGGGGAAGAAAGAGCAAGGGGTCTTATCATGCAGATTATCTCCTCTTCCTTTGGAGATAGAGGGCTCCGGTGACAGACTCTTTGGCTCTCCTGGGAAAATTCCTGACTGACCGGTTAAGACTACATTTCTGGGGAGGTTGAAACTGCAATTAGATTAGGTACTGAGCCCCCATTTGGGAATTTGGCTAAGCGACACCATCTTGGGCATGTGGTTTTCTTTTTAACAAAGTCTTCAAACATTAAAATCATTCCTGTTCATGCAAACTTCAAGCAATAAGTTTAACACCAGAGTATATCAAGCTCATTACAATGAGACATTCAAACCATTCCTGAAATACCACATATAAGCAATTAACATTTGCAAATGTGGTAGTGGTATTCCCAAACCAGACTCGGGGAAAAACAGTACATCATTTCTGCTCAGTAGTGTCATGATCAAGCAAGGGATTTTTTTTTTTTTTTTTTTCCCAGAAAAGAAGAGTTCCAGAGTATTTGGTAACCAGCCTCCTTGTCCCCTTCTCCTTCCGGCCTAGTACCCAGATGGGCACCCACTGGGCAAACTCCAAACTTGACATTGGAAGCAGACATAGCAAAGGGCAGCCTGAGGAAAAACCCTAGAGAGAGTGGACCGGTATTCACCTTCTACTCCCTTGTGTCTTCCTCCTTCCCACACCCCGGGCTGCCCCAGAGCCCGCTCGCTTGGGGCTCTCTTGGGATCCCATCCTCTCCTGTCTCAGGGACTGGGGGATGGGGCTTTCCAAGGGACCTTTCCTATAATTCTAATCCCATACAGAGTCACCAGGATCCAAAGTTGATATGGAAAGTCCTACATGTTAATGCTTGTCTGGTAAAATAAAAATAAAATTTGGCGCCTCAAATTTTTTTGTCATTGACTTTTTTAAAAAAAGATTTTAACCCTTTTTAAATGTAGTGTAGCGTTCAGTGGTATTAAGTACATTCATGTGGTTGTGCAATCATCACCACCATCCGTCCACAGAACTTTCATCCTGTAAAGCTGAAACGCTCTACCCCTGAAACACTAACTCCCCCTCCCCCTCTACCCCCATGCGGCCTCTTTTTGCCACCTCTATGAGTTTGACTACTCTAAGTACCTCATGTGAATGAAATCATACAATATTTATCCTTTTAAAACTGGCCTATTGGGATACCTGTGTGACTCAGTCGGTTAAGCGTCTGCCTTTGGCTCAGGTCATGATCCCAGAGTCCTGGGATCAAGTCCCGCATCAGGCTCCTTGCTCAGCGGGGAGCCTGCTTCTCCTTCTCCCTCTGCCTGCTGCTCACCCTCCTTGTGTTCTCGCGTGCGCGCTCTCTCTCTCTCTCAAATAAATAAATTAAAAAAAAAAACTGGCTTATTTCACTTAGCGCAATGCCATCAAGTTTCATCCACATTGAGGCATAAGTCAGAATTTTCTTCCTTTTTAAGGCCGAACAATATTCCACTGAATGGCTATTTTTGTTTCTCCATTTGTGCAGTCAATGGTATTTGGGTTGTTTCAAACCTTTGGCTATTGTGAATAATGACGCTATGAATATACAAGTTGTCAAGCATACAAGTTTTCCTTGAATGTTTCAATTGGGCAGCAAGACACATTAAGATAGACTTCAATATTTCTTAACTTTGATGAAGGAGGCAGGAACAAATCAGAAATCCTAGAACTATCAGAAACTTCTTTCCTGTGCTTCCAAAGGGTAGAATAATTTTGTTGTGGAAGGAGTCTCTTTGAGAAGCTCTCTTCATCTTGTATACTGGTTTGAGGTCCCTTAAGAACACTTCAGATATTGGTCAGTAATCTCAATATTTTAGTTGTGATTTAAACATTTTGTCTAACTATATGAAGGCCCTCTGATGAGTAAATTACTATAAAAAACTTTTTAAATTTTTATTTATTTATTTAGAGAGAGAGAGCACATGCACGTACTTGCAAGTAAGTGGTGGAGAGGGGCAGAGGGAGAGAGAGAATCTCAAGCAGACTCCACGCCCAGTGTGGAGCCCAACTTGGGGCTCAATCTCAGGACCCTGAGATCATGACCTGAGCTGAAATAAAGAGCCAGATGCTCAGCTGACTAAGCCACCCAGGCGTCCCTCTAAAAAATTTTTAGAAAAATGAAGTTTAAAATGATTTCTTTAAGGGCACCTGGCTGGCTCAGTCAGTAGAGCATGTGACTTTTGATTTTGGGGTTGTGAGTTCGAGCCCCACATTGGGTATAGAGATAACTTAAAAATAAAA